GTAGAGAGATCTCCTCCAAGTTTAAGATTCCCAGGGGATAGTGTGTACACTCTGAGTCTGGCAGGGATGCACTTGGAAGTGAGGTCTTACTCAAAGTTAGTTTTTCTTGTGTTCATCCCCTTCTCTAGGTAGATTATAGTGTGGGACTCTGAAGTCACCTTGACAGCAGAGACTGTTCCTTCGTGGATGTTGTCTTAGTACTGTCTCCTCCTCTTGCCACACTCTGGGGGCAGCCTGAGATGCAGAGAATATAGGACAGGTGAAAAGAGAGGAAAGGAGAGGTACCAGGTAAGCTCTCGAGGGAGCACAAGGGCGCAGCTGCTCTCCAGCGGACCTGATGTGCAGTCCAGGAGAATGACCTGCAGCTTGAAGAGCTCTGGAGCTCCTAGTCCTCAGCAATGTGAATCCTCAGCTTAGAGGAGGTGGGAAAGGTCACTGATGCTGCCTTGTCCCCACAACCAGGCAGATTGCACTTAACCACTGACACATGCATCTTCTTTAAGCTGCCCAGGTGAGAAATGAACACATCTTTGTGAAATAAACAATTACATTTTCTTTTCAGCCCATTATAGAATATGTCATGAGCTCAGTGAGTTAAAAAGCAAAACACTAGAGTGGGAGATGAGACCTGGAGCCATCATAAACTAATCCTGCAACCTCAGGCATTTCCTTTTCTACCTTGCTTTTCTCATCTGTACAGTGGAGGTGGTGATAGTATCAGCTCTGCATACTTTAGAGTTGTTCGAGAATTAAGGGAAAAATAAAAAAGGAAATGGCAGCATGCTGAACAGTGTGATGTGTTAGCACAGGGGTAGGTGTTCTGGTTACATGGGTGAGGCCAGGGGCTCTGGGGCCAGACTGCCTGGGTTCAGTCCCAGTGCTTCTGACCTACCTGAGTGACCTTGAGCAAGGTACGCAGCTGTCTGTAACCCAGGTTTTCTCATCTGCTACTTGAGGATAGTAACAGTACTTCTCTGTAGTAGGAGGATTCAATTAAGTAATGCACACTTGAGTTATCATTCAGTTATCTTTCATTGGATTCTTAAACACATATTTTCTGCATGCAAGGAGTAGGTTGTGCAGATGTACACATATAAACAAAATTAGGCCTGGTGGCACTTCAGAGAAACATGAATTGCATCCCTTGTCCCTGTGATTATGGCTCTCAGACTGCAGGCAGTGGCTGCATAGAAGCGTGCTGGAGAAGGAGGTTTCTGACTTGATTGTAAGACAAAAGCATTCATTAGACTTTTTCTGGGCATCTTCTAAGTGGCAGGTGCAGAGAGTATAAAAATAAATAAGATGTGGTAGTTGCCCTCTAGGAGCTCACAAAGAAAGAAGCGGGGAGGGGCATGGCAGAATGTGCTTCTGTAGAGGTGAGAACTAGCTGAGTGCGCAGATGGAGGTGGGAGTCAAGTAAGAGCTCAGCTAGACCAGGTGAGTGCTCAGGTGGAGGTGGGAGCCAGGTGGGGCCTTGGATAGACCAGGTGAGTGCTCAGGTGGAAGTGGGAGCCAGGTGCTCAGCAGGCCTAGGGGAAATAGTGACTTGCTGTTCAGGGGGAAGTCAGAATGCTACATGCTGTAGTTTGAATCTTGCAGAATGAGTAGGCATTTTCCAGGAAAGGCGGTGGGGAAGGGCATCCATTGAACTGCCTGTCCTGTAAGGCAGTCGTTGCCACTGGATTTCCAGCTGGGGCCCTGTGAGGGTTTCTGAGTTACTTTCAGGTCTCGGGTCTCTTGGGGTCTGTTTGCCCTCTCCTATGCAAAATGTAGTTCTCCTGGGCCTTTCATGGGCAAAACCTTTACTCCAGAGAGGTTTAGAGCTACGCTGTCCAGTGTGGTAGCCACAAGCCACATATGGCCATCCTGACATTTAAATTAATTAAAAAAAAATTTTTTTTTGGTGCCTGGCCAGCATGGAGGTCCAAACCCATGACCTTGGAGTTATAAAGCTGCACTCTAACTAATGATGAGCTAACCAGCCATCTCCTAAAATTAAATAAAATCAAAAGTTGTATCCCTCAGTCTCACTAGCCCCGTTTCAGGTACTCAGTAGCCACATGTGGCTAGCAGCTACTACATGGCCAGCACAGACAAAAATTCTATCATCACAGAAAGTTCTATTGAACAGTGCAGTTCTCCAGGGAGCTCTGGCATTACGCAGAGGGAGGAGTGGTGCGTTTTCCTTGCTTGCCCTCCACTCCAGCTGTTGTGAACCTCCCTCCTGGGGTGTTCAGCCTGTCTGGAGTTTCAGCTCCAGCTCTGCCTGGGGTCCTCAGCTGGCCATAAGACCTAGCATAGTGGCATCGGCTTTACCCTGGCCTGCCCCAGTCCTGCCACTCCCTGCCTGGATGCAGCTCTAAAATAGATAGACCATTGCCCAGGTGAAAATCTGGTTCATTTAAATGGATGGAATAAAATAAATCCCTTTATTTACTCCTTTCACTAGAAATCCTCCTGTAACCTCAGCTTCTTTTAATATGTGTGAAGACAGCTGGTCAGATGGGGGTAGCACCGAAGTGTCACATCCTTTAGGGGCTGGGGCAAAGACCACAGCTTTAGCATTCATAGAGTTGTGCAAGGGGCAAACTTGGATGTGAAATTCTGTGAAGAGATTGCCCGAGCCCACAGTGATCAATATGTGACATTGGGTTTAGGCTTTGCTTGGCAGTGATCACAGCCAGGACACACTGAAGGCATCACTGCCCTTGATGGATTCATGACAAATTGTACATTGACCTGTATCATTAGATGCACCTAGACAATGTGTTCTTAAGGGATAATAATCCTCTTGTAAAGCAAAAAGAACAAATAAAGAAGCCACTTCCGGCATTGTCAAAGCCTAGTCTCCATGGCACTTACCTTTGGACCTGCCCTCAGCCCCACTGTGTGCAAGGAGTCGCCCTTATGATGTGTCATTTGCCACAAAATCATTTAATTGTGCTCTGGCGTCTCAGGAGATTAGATAGCGCCAAGATCTGTGTGTAATGGGTAATAATTATAGAGATTAAGAGGCTTTTGGGCAGTTTGATTTACAGTTACTATGTGACCTGATTTTAGGAGAAATTTGACCTTAGGCCAGGCCTGGTTATAATTTTCCAGAATAGCTTTCATTTTAGGAATCCAAATGCATCTGGATAACACCCAGATGTTATAAAATGGTAACATCTGCCCCATCTGTTGAAGTAACTTGGAACTTCAGAGTTAGCTTGTCAGTAAGTCTTGGAGGAGAGAGAAGTCTTTTCCAGAACACTTCTCTAATCATAGTTTATCAGCCCCTTGGTTCTGAAGGAGACTTTTCAGTGTCAGTGAAAACTATCCCTGGTTTCACAGACAGTCTAATACAGTGTCTTCAGATGTCTGTTGTGTGCAGTCCCTGCACAGGCTGGTTACCTATTGCCTTGTTTCAACTTAGGGTTGTCCTTTGTAATTTATCAGTGGGTACAGGTATGTTTAGAAAGGTGAAACAGACAAACACAAGCGGGAGCCCCTGTCCGTTGGGACTTACCTGCCATCATGTAGCACCTACAGTGGGTGGCATGCCATCTGAACCAGAGGCTCACTCAGTATCAGAGGTGCCTGCATATTCTAGAGGATGAATCTCATCAGGGAAAGGGCAGAAAGATGACTGGACACAATGTGTATGATACACGTGCATCGTTGCCCCTGCTGGAATCAGAGCAGCGGAGCTGGAGCCCCTGGAAGAGAGGCCACGGGTCTTCTTCCATTTCGGGGACACTTAACAATCTGTGAGTGGAAAGAACTGCCAGGCCTTTCACCCACCTCTAGTTCTATTCCAAAGTCCCACACTGGGGTGACCCTCATGCGCTGGGCTCTGCAGCAGGGCCTGAAGGGTGAGTGGGAGAAGAAGGGGCGGGAGAGGGCTGGATGGTGGGGAGATCTTGGCTGCGGCAGAACAGGCAGTGTTTAAAATCCTGCCTTATTAAAGGTCTGTTTGCAGAAAAGAGAATAGAAATGGTTTAAATTTATAGTTTACTCTGGATAATTAGGGTTCACTTCTTAATTAACTTTACTACAAATAAGGCTAAAGGGCTTTGGTAACCCACTGCCATTTCACGAGGAAGGTTTTTTTACTCCATAATAACAAGGTACTGAGTATCAACAGGGACCTACTTGTGGAGTAGAAGGCAGGAGCTTCTGTCTGCTGAAATGCAAAAAAACACGAGGAGAATGCTGCTCCTCCCAACACCAGAGCTCACTGAATAATCCAACAGCTTCTCCATCTTTCCAAGATGTTTGTGCTCTTTCTACCTGTGTTAACATTATCTCTTCATCTGAAGAATCGCAGCAGGAATAAGAAGAGAAGTTTGGAACACGAGTCAAATCTCATGAATTTGGACTAATTGGGGAAAAGGCTGGTCTGAAATAAAAGCGTGAACCCATGAGGCATCTAAACTATATCTGTATATATAAAACTTCATATATACATTTGAAGAGCTTATTCCTTTGAACATATATAGGCATAGGCATATGGGCATATATGCCTTTGACACAGGCATATATAAGAAAACATAAACATACGCATAAAGAAAGACATACACACACGTATAAAGACATACACACACGCGGGTACTTCAAAAATTTGTGGAAAAATAGATTAAAAGATAATACGAATGCAGGTACTGCAAAGAATTCATGGAGAGATTCTGCCCACTAGATGCCAGTAGCACCCTCCATCCAATGACAACCAAAAACGTCTCTGACATTGCCTGACTTTGTCCTGGTTGGGAACCACTGTTCTAGACCAAGGCAACTCATTCCCCAGGCCAGGTCATCGAGTCCTCATCTGTGAACTGAGGTGCCTGAGGAGAGAGCACCTCTAAGTCTCCTTCCAGATCTAACACTCCCAGTATGACCATCAAGGAGTCCTACAGACCCTCACAGGCTGTGTGACACCTCTGTTCTTATAAATGGAATTAACAGAGGAAAGTTTTGGAAATGATTTGGCTGTAATACCTGTTTTTTTTTCTTTCCCACAGGAATTCTCACACTAAAGAGAGCAAATGAGCTCCTGAGCATGACAGGCGTGCCGGGCAGTTTTCTGATCCGAGTCAGTGAAAGGATGAGAGGCTATGCCTTGTCCTACCTGTCGGAGGAAGGCTGCAAACATTTCCTAATCGATGCTTCTGCAGACTCGTACAGCTTCCTGGGCGTGGACCAGCTGCAGCACGCCACCCTGGCAGATTTGGTGGAATATCACAAGGTGAAAACATTTATAAACTTAATTTGCTTTGTGAATTATTGTCCTATAGCAATGAAAGGCAATTACAGGAAAAAAGATCGAGACAAGTAGCGGGGGGATTAGTCTTTGATAATTCCTCCTGATAATCAGGATTCTTAATTGCATTTCCTTCATCATAGAACCTAGTTCCTCCTCAAGTACTTAGGGAGACCCCACTGGGGCAGAGAATAGAGTAGATGCTAACACAACTGTGCCCACACTGATCACACTGAAAACAATCTTGAGTTAGAACTTGAGCCCTGGAGGGAAAGAGAGGTCATGGCAGTAGTGGGTGAGAAAAACCTCTTTTAAGATGGTCATCAACCAATAAAGCTTTGTGTAAATCAAGGGTAGGTGGGGAGTGACATCTTTGGAGTGGGCAGGAAGGGCACATCACTATGACTCATACTGTCTCAACAACATGCACATCCCACAGCCCAGCCTGACCTGTGCGTTCTGATTAACAGGAAGAGCCCATAACATCCCTGGGGAAAGAGCTCCTTCTCTATCCCTGTGGTCAGCAGGACGACATGCCTGATTACCTGGAGCTCTTTGAGTGACTGTCTCCATCTGGGTCATCCTCCAGCCTCTGGCTGGGCTTTCCTCTGGACAAACAGTGCTGAAATGGACATTTGTGTGTGAAGCCAAAATACCCCTGCAGCAGAGCCAGTGCTGATCAAGCAAAAGTGTCTGTGGAGTCCTCATTGAAATCTCTCTTCTGCACAAACGCTGGAGTTTCATGTTGGGAGAAAATGACCTGTATCTCATATGCACTCCAAAAATAAAGGCAGAAGGGTCCCAGTTTCAGCAACTACCTAACATGAAGGATATGACCTTAATGATATATTTAAGACAAAACGAACAAAGAAGAAATGGAAACCTTTTAGGAATTAAGGTGTACTTCAAAAACCAGCTGCTTGTGTGGAGTATTTTATGACCACTACACTCTCTCTTTGCATCATCTCAAATTGTGTCAGGCTCCTGTTTGTATGAAGTTGCACATTGGCCTTGGCACGCTGGCAAAAAAGCCTTTATTGTGGCTGAGATTGTCCTCAAAACACACCTCATTTCTTGTGCGTGGTGCAGCCAGGATGTGAGAGACATAGAAAAGCAGAAGTTGTGAATGTAAACGGAATAAGACTTTTTAAAATGTACGATGATAGACTTGTGTATAAAAATACATATGGATGGGAGGACAGTGGGCAAAGATCTGTGAGTTTGTTTCCTCATTCCGGAGAATGGGGACAGCGCGTGCCCTACCTGCTCTATCCCGTAGTGTCCCCCAAAGGATGAAGCACGTGCACATGTCAGGTGTCATTTATTAAGAGGTGCGTAGAACAGAGCAGAGAAGGTGAGCTGTTGGGTCACCTCTTGTGGGTTGAATTGTCTTCTCCTTAAAGATATGTTGAAGTCTTAACCCCGAGACCTGTGCATGTGACCTTATTTGGAAATAGGGTCTTTGCAGATGTAGTCATTACATCTTGAACAGGAACCAAGGAGGCTCTGAGCCACCGGAGATTGCTTTTTCTGGGAGGGTGGAGATGTGTGTAGCTAAGGCCTAACCCTGTGTGTTGGCATTCTTTTAAATTACCTTTTAATGAAAGCTGAATGATAATCACAGTTTGTTCATGAGCTTGGTTGTGTAAAACACTCATTGACAGTGTAAAGTGTAACCAGAGAAGAGGTGGGTGTGCGTGTTTTTATTATTTTTATTGTACATATTTATGGGGCAAAGAGTGATATTTTGGTACATGTATACAATGTGTGATGTTCAAATCAGAGCAATTAGTATGTTCGTCATCACAAACACCATTTTCTTTGTGTTGAGATTACTTAACTCCTCTCTTTTAGCCATTTGAAATTATACAATAAATTATTGTTAATTACCGACACCTAGCACTGCTATGGAACTTATTCTTTCCATCTGGCTGTTGTTTGTATCTGTTAACCAACCTCTCCCTCCTTCCCTCCCCACTACCTTCCCAATCTCTAGTAACCACAGTCTACTCTCTACTTCTATGAGCTCCACTTTAGTAGCTTCCACATTTATCCAGAGGAAAGGAAGCCAGCATCCCGAAGAGATATTTGCACCCCGCATGTTTATTGCAGCACTATTCACAATAGCCAAGACATCGTATCAACCTATGTATCCACCAAAAGAAAGACTTGGCCTGTATACACAAGTGGATGCTACTCAGCCATAAAAAAGAAAAATAAAATCCTGTCATTCACAGCAACATGGATAAGCCTGGAAGTCATCATGTTAAGTGAAAAAAGTCAGGCACAGAAAGAGAAATACCTCATGTTGTATGTGTATGTTTTAAGAAGAATGCTTTTAGGGCCGGCCCGGTGGCACACTGGATAGTGCGCCGCTTGGGAAGCGCGGTGGCGCTCCCGCCCGAGGGTTCGGATCCCATATACAGACCGGTTCCCGCTCACTGGCTGAGCGAGGCGCGGGAGCGGCGCCGAGGGTTGCGATCCCGTTGCTGGTCCCCGGTCCGGTGCGGGGGCAACACTGAGGGTTGCGATCCGTTGCGGGGGCAACACTGAGGGTTGCGATCCGTTGCCGGACACGGAAAAAGACAAAAAAAAAAAAAGAAGAATGCTTTTAAATATGGGTCATTGTTAACTCTTTCTTGAAATGTCCCATGTGGTTTGTATTGTTAAACTCGTAAAAACCTGTCTCTTAGCTTTTGTTTCTAACTGATTCAGAAACTTCTGTTCCGTTCATATTCTCTCCCACCATTTTCTATAATCTTGGACAGGTCCCTTTACTTCTCTGATCTTGTTTTTCCTTCAGAAGAAAATAAGGTGTTTTAGCTGGGTGATCTTTATTGTTTTTGTCCAGCTCTGAAATCTTAAGGCTCTGGTTCTGTTCCTTACTGGAGTGGATACAAAGTACCCTATAGTCACTAATAGTTATGCAGACACATCAGATTCCAGCATCACCCTCTGCCTGAAATTATATTGTAGAAAGTAAGTGTGACCATATTCAGATATAATTACACTAAGCAGCATCCTACTGGAGGAAGATTTAGAAAACAGGACCCAACTGAATTAGCCTTATACGGGGGAGAAGATTGAGTTCTGTACTATGTTATCCTGTTGGTTACTGATATTCAGAGGAATAAACTGCCCTGTGTTCCATGATATGATGTCCAGGAGTAATACTTGAAATTCTTCAGGAAGGAGAATGGTTTACAGAATTCAGAAATTGATTACAACTAAATGGGGTTGAGGAGGCCTGTGTTCTCATCCTAGCTCTGCTACAGACTCCGTCCTCCTTGTGTCTGACCCTAGTTATGGTCTAAGTTGAAGATGTCCAAAGCCTATCCCTGCTCCACTCCTTCTTTTGCATCAACTCGTCCTGACTTGCCTGCCCAAGGTTTCATGGTCTGGGATGTTGCCCTCAGGTTACTGTCCAGGTTTCCGACCCCAGGGACTCTGAGCGGCAGACTCTGATTCTTTGGGACTGTGCCCAAATGCCACTTCCTGCCCATGTCGATTCTTCTCTCTCTTAACCCCTTCAGTAAGATTCTCAACTCTTCCTCTTACAGTCATCTCAGATTTTCTGGCTTCCACCTCCCATACCACTGCAGACCCCAATCAGGTCACCTGGAAAGCCCCTGGTTAGCCCCTGGTTCTGGTCTCCTGCCCTATCCTGCTGCAGTAGGATGCATGAGAAAGTTAGTTTGTCCCTCAGTGGCACCAGCAGTGCTAAGCAATGGCACGAAGTGTTATTTGGCTCAAACCTTACCTTAAAAAGAGGAAAAGCACAGGGAGAGTTAAGAAAAAGGATCAAGAGAAAGACGAGTTGCCAAAAATATCTCAAGGGCATTTATACCAAAAATTTCCTATCCAAGCCAATGCTTTGGGATTAACCATTCTTTTAGTGTAACAGCATGCCCTACTATGGCATGAGATCTGCTTTTGGATAAAAAGAAAAAGAAGTCATGGCTTAAATTTTTGCAATGGCACCTTCATAAAGGCAGCTTTCTTAATGCACAGGAATCCAAACATGTCTATGACCCTCACACATAGATATCTTGGGGATCCTGCCATTTGGTGCACAGAGAGGACACAGGAATTATTTATAGGAGATGCATGGCTAGGTCTCCATCAGGCCTCTTTGCTGTCATTTTTGTTAAGAATGTGGTAAATGCTTCATTTCTGGCTGCAAATGCACAGGTCTTTGGTAGAACATGTCTTCTACAAGTATATCTTTTAGCAATGTTTCTGTTTGATTTGTTCTTTTTTCTTCCTCTTAGTTTTCTCTTCTTTGCCTTCCACTTCTGTATCTCATCCTCATTGTTTTCAGCTCTCCAGTCTTTCCTGTTGTATTTTAGGAAAGTTTCTACTCTCCATCCTTTGCACATCAGAGATTACATTTTCTGCAATGTTAATTCTGCTTTACTGACTCCAGTGTGGATTTGAGTGCTACTACAGGATAAGTATCCTTTATCCCAAATGCTCGGGACCAGAAGTGTTTTGGATTTTTTCCAGATTTTGGAATATTTGCATATATGTAATGAGATATCTTGGTGATGGGACCTAAGTCTAAACATGAAATTCATTTATGTTTCATATACACCTTATACATAGCCTGAAGGTAATTCTATACAATATTCTTAATAATTTGCATGAAACAAAGTTTGTGGGCAATGAACCATCAGAGAGCAGAGGTGTCACTCTCTCAGCCACCCCTGTGGACAGTCTGCAGTTGTTTGGCATCACTATCATTCCTGACTCTCAATTTATATGCTACCGATAAGCAATCATTTTCTTATACTTATTCACACATGAGTATTTAACAGTAAAAAATATGACATACGATTAATACAATGAAAAAAACAATGTATTCAGGATAACTAAGCATCACCAGAACATCTTTTTATGCACCTGCTTTTTGACTGTGACCCATCACCTGAGGTCAGGTGCAGAATTTTCGACTTGTGGCATCATGTCAGTGCTCAAAAAGTTTTGGATTTTGGAGCATTTCAGATTTCAGGTTTTCAGATTAGGGCTGTTCAACCTCCGTTCCCAGTTACTTGCCATCCTTCCTTCTGTCCCCATCCAAGGATCTTTAGACATCCCATGGCTACCCCAGATTGAAAACTATCAGGAGGCTTAAATGATAAAAGCACCCTCATTTTAATGTGTGGTAAAAACACATTATTTGCTAATGAGGTAGCTTGACAGTAGAGAGAAAGACCAGCAGGGCCTGGTTATACCATTAACTAACTGTGTGGAATCTTAAAAGAAAAAAAAAATTAAGCCTTTCTGAGCTTCAGTTTCTTCATCTCCCAAAAAAGGAGTTAGTCACCTGGGTTCTGTGGATTAGACAAGAAATATAAGTGCCTGGTATATAGAAAGCTCCCCATAGATGGTAATTACTCCCAGTGAATCATGGGCCCACTAGAGTCAGGGCATGTCATTCCAGGCTTCCTCTTCATCAGCTCAGTTTATGTAACCCATGGGCTGTGTATCTTAGTGGCCCATTTCCCAGAGTTTCCTAGACTTTTAACAGGGGAAGGAAGGGAAACTTTCAAACTGTCAGGGATGTGATGAACCACATCATATGTTAGCCAGTTGACCTGCAGAGAAATAGCTCACTTAGTTTGGATTTGAAGTGGCATGGATGGGGCATTTGCTAATGTCTGATTTTGACAACCCCCAAATTAGCAGAAACCAGTTTTTACCCCCAAATAGGCCATTGACAAACTCAGTTGCCCCGGGATTCCTGATTGCACATCCCCAGGTACTTGCCTCTGTTTTAGACCAGAATAGTACAAACCCAGCTACCTTTGGGGTTAACGCTGCCCATCTCCTGAAAAGGTCAGGCAGTGTAGTGCTGAGCCACATTGCTAGGGAGGGGCAAGCCCCCGCCTCTCTGGTTGGACTAAATCAGCTCTGCTTGCCTGCAACTGGAAGGATGTTCTGCTGTGGAGTCTTCCCAGCAACAGAGTCGAGGTTCTGGAAACCCTCCACAGCACTGTGCCTCAATAACCCAACAAAAAGGCAAATGCCTTCTCTTTTGGGGATGCTCTCTCAGTGGTGGGCAGAGTTCCAGAAAAGACTTCCCAACCAGGCCCCTCCCTACTACTGCTGAGAGCCCCACGCACTATGGGTGTGATTGTTATGTGGCTCCACTCGGGGCTAGTAACTGGAAGAAAGAACAAGTTAGGTAGTTAGACTTCTCTGGCCTTTCTTTGAATTTAATTTGAGCATTTTTCTCCCTTTTTTAACCTTTTCAAAGGGATTAAGTCCCAGCAGGCCACTGGTGTTTTCTTTTCTTTTTTTTCTTGGTAGTTGGCCAGTGTGGGGAATCGAACCCTTGACCTTGGTGTTGTAAGGCCATGCTCTAACCAAGTGAGCTAACAGGCCAGCCCCTGGTGGGGTTTTCAGTTGTAGTGTTTTAAACACTGGAGTTAGAGTAACAGCTGAGGTGGAGGGGTGACAGGAGGCTGGAGAAGGAGCAGAGCTGGCTTCTGTCCCCACAGTATTGCCACAGCTGCCCTCCCCTGTCCCTCCTCCCTTATGATTCTGTCCCCCTTCTTGCTAGAACAACAGATGAACCAAACATAGCCGAGGGGACACTGGCATTGATTTCATCAGTGTTCAAAGCATCAGTAATGCAGAGACATTTAAAAAAGCACCTGTGCTGGCAGGGAAGAACAAATTCTGGGTGTTGGGAAAAAACCACCAGCCAAACCCCTCAACCACTGGCATAGTTTTTGGCAGCAACAGCAAAGCACTGAACCCTGCCAGAAGGAACAGCTTTGAATTAAAATATAAAGCTAATCAGAATATGGATCACACAAAGCTGCCAGTTATTTGATGTGTGTTGGGAGTAAAACACACCTACTCTCCTAAGGAACTCCCAAGGTCATTATCTTTAATCAGCAATTCTCAGAAACAATATTAAGTCTTTTAAAAGCAAGTATTCCCACCTGTTCTCCCCTCCCACTCAAGACAGTCTTTAAATTTAACGTCTTGGAATCCTGCATGAGCACTGGATTCTGGGGTTTCGATCCCAAATGGAGCCCTAATGCTGCCCGTAGTCACACAGCGGCTAGAGGGAGACACAGGCAGTGAGGTGCTTAACTGTTCTGGATCACTGTGTTAACAAGGCCTCACTCCTTGTCGGGATTTCTCAGGAAGGGCTGGAGAGCAGAAAAATGGTGGGAAACTGAGGCACAAAGAGGACAGGCTCTGGACTCATCGCAGGCTCAAGCTCTTTCCCCAGACCTTCAAGCTCATCTGGAGCTGGCTGTGTGACAGGACAACGATGTGTGAACCCTGGAGCCCTCCACTTGGACAAAAACAAAGGAATGACAGTAAACATGAGGGTTTCATAATCTTCAATGGATGGCCCATAACGTTCAGCAGACACTGCCAGATATACAGTCGTAAATGAGGAGCTGTGTGTTGACTCCTAATGTAGGAACTCAGAGAGCAACACCCCAAAGTGATGAGCTCAGAAACAGCCTCAAAAGCAAAGTTTCCCTCTGACCTGCTCCTGCCCTCCTGTCTCTCAGCCTCATCTCATCTCATTCTCCGCTGAGACAAGCCATAGAATCTAGACTCTCTCTTCCCCAGGGCAGGTCACAGACAAACTCCAATCTGTCCCCCTGCCCCTGCCTTTCTGTCTTGGAGCTTGTCATAAAGAAATTCTCTGTCCTTACTTTGTCTGATTGCAGGTCACAAGACCCTCATTCTAGAAAGGTCCTGCCCCATACCCAGGAGGAATAAATGCTGCACAGAGAGGCCAAGAAGAATCTGAGCAGACAGCCTTGCAGGGTTTCCCCACTCTGTCTATTAGTGTTAGATCATACTTTTTTTGTCCAATCACATTTCTACAACTGTGCCTGCTTCATAAAACCTAAACATAAAAATGGACTGTTCCCTGTATCTTTGGGTCCTCATTCTGAAGGCTCTCGTGTCATGTAAAACTATGATCGAATGGAATTTGTTATGAATTTTCTTCATATTAATCTGCATTTATCAGTTTATTTTTCAGAGAACCTCCAGGGCATTGAAAGGGATGTCTTCCCTTGGTCCCTACATGAATAACTAGACATAAATAGCTGCTATGTGCCTGAGATGTCCTAAGTACTTCATGTATATTAACTCATATTTACAACCATCGTATGATATAGATTTGATTACATTCATCACCCCGAACGAGGAAACTGAGGTACAAAAATACTGGCTCACTTAAGCTCATATAAGCTGCAAATGAAAGAACTGGTATTTGAACCCAGGTTGTCTGGCTGGAGCAGCCATGAAGTTAGCTAACATTCTGTACTGAACCCTGATAAGGTTAAATTACATAACAGAGGATTTTTTTCTGAAACAAAAATTAGTAAAATTAGGTTCTGGGTAGCTATTTTCCCAGGTCAGATTCTCTCTGCATCACTGATGTGTGGAAAGAGGTAGGTGACCACACCTGTGGGCACAAAGAAGGGCTAGAAGTAGGTGACTGGATGGAAATTGAGCACAAGGGGTCAGGGTGTCATTTGGGGGCCATGGAGTGTTGGTAAAGATTTAACAATGGGCTCGGCTGTGGGTGGGAGGTGTGTAGGAGGGGCAGGTCTGATTTGTAGTGTTTGCCAATTGTCATGCTGTAAATACTCCCACCATGCTAGATTTTAAGCTACTGACCTGTCATTGAGCGAAGGGTCAGGAAGAGGTGCTGAAAACTGGCTCTCATCAGGCCGCACCAGCACGCCATGGCCTAGAGGACACCCCCGCTCAGTCAGATGACCAGAACTAGTTCCTAAGCAATTTACAGGGAGTCGGGATGGAGTATGCAGAGTTGGACAGGGCCTTGGACAAGGCCGAGACTCAGTGCTTCCTTGGCAACATCCTTCCTTTGGAAGCTGTAATGTGACTGGGTCCTTCAAACAAGTTTCACTGCTGCTTTCCTTTGCTGTCTGTGTTTCAACTGCAGCCCTTAATTACACTGTTTCAGTGGGGACTTCCCCAACCCTTGTCTTACAGGTGTCCTGGGCAGGCAGTGGGGACGCACCCCTCTTGCATGTGCTTTAAGAGCACCTCTACCCTTCGATAAAACTGTTGTACCTGACTAAGCTTTAAAAAGACAGACATAGTTCAATATTACGCCATCTCTGCTCCTCTTCAGCTATCCTTGGCAACTTTTAAAACCCAGTTCTTAACCACTGCCTTGGGTATCTGCCATATGCAATTTAGACACGTACAAATGGTTGATTGGCCCACAGAGCACAGCCTGGGCTGACCACCTGTGAGACACGTACGCCTGCCTGATCCCATGGCCACAATACTTGACAGCCACCGCAAGCCTTGTTGAAATTGCAGCCTCCTGACCCTGGGAGGAGATGGACAAGAGCGTGCAGGCCAGTCGCCACAAATCCAACAGCACCACTGGAGACACAAGCCAGACAAGTGCCCTGAAGTTTCTAGTGTCACCATAGCATGTGGAAATATTAAGTGCACAGTTGAAAGGGGCCTTGGAAATCATTTCTCAATTTCCTCTAATTAAAAAGGACAAGTAAAATGTACAAACAGTTCAGGTTTTCATTATGGTTCTCTTCTTCCTCCAGCCTAGCAGTTCTCAACCCAGAGTGACTTCACTCCTGGGGACACTGGGCAATGACCAGAGACACTTTGGTTGTCACAGTTGGGTGGGAGATGCTCTTGACATCTAGAGGGCAGAGGTCAGGGATGCTGCTAAACATCCTACAGTGCACAGGACAGTCCCCACAGCAGAGTCATCCAGCCCAAATGCAAGTAATGCCAGGCTGAGAAAGCCTGGCCTATGCACAAAATACTGCTTTCTTTTTTTTTTTTTTGGTCCTTTTTGAGAACAGCCACACCGCGCTCAGCCAGTGAGCGCTGTGAGCGAACCGGTCATCCCTATATAGGATCCG